TTTAGTGAAAAACAAACATGTAAAAAGTAGTGAAATATTAGCTAGAAGAAAAATATGTCAAATATCTCATATTAACAAAGTAGACGATGTAAAACATGTAGGTTCAGCAACTATAGTTTAGACGCAATGAATTTTCAGAGGAAAAAAAAAAAAGAAAAAAAAAAAAAAACTAACCATCATACATACCAAAGGTTGACTTCTTTGCTCAAAACCTTGAGTCTTAGCTCCATGTTTGCTTGTAGCAAGAACTCCATAACTGAAATCTTGTCCACCGAAAGACTCGATTTCTTAATGGCAGTACTAAATTTCTATTCATTTAAAATTATCTTAGTAAATAAACTACATGAAATATCTAAATCTATTCATTTAAAATTATCTTTTTTCTCAACTTCTTAATGGCAGTACTAAATTTCTCAATAATATTAGCAGACTGGCTAAAAGGAACAAGAATCTTAAAACTCCTTATTTTTTGTTGTTATTCTTCCTGTCAAAAGCCTTGACCATACCCACGGCATTTGTAATGGCTTCATTCACCTTGAGGAGCGCATCCTGAGCAGGATAGAACCCTTATAATTGTATTCATCATTAACTTCAACATCCTCTTTCTTTTTAACATAGCAATAAATTGTGATAACTTTTATCTCTAGCACCAGGAAACAGGGCCAACACATTGACCTTTGCTCTCATCTCTTGCCAGATCGAGTTAATTATGTTTCCACTCTTTCCAATCACGTTCCCAATAGCACCATCAGGACAACGAATCCTATACACTATTAGTTCATCATTACCCTTGTCATCCCTGTCTCTTTCTCTATCCAGTTGCCTCTTTTGGTTCTCGATATCCCCATCATCACGATGAGAACTAAAGCGCTTCCCATTTTCACCCATTCCAAACTACAAAATCGCTCCCCTGAATGCACTGAAAAAGTAATTCCGAACTTTAAATTTGAATCAAAATCAGACGACAAAAATTGCAACTAAATTTCACAAAAAAATAATAATTAATATATAAAAGGTCATAAATAAAAAGAAACTTTTTTTCCCTTCCTTCTTTCCATATCAAGCCCCTAAAGTTTTAATTTTTGTTCCCATTTGTCAGAGTTTTGATCTAACACAGAATAAACCAAAAATGTCTGGAATCTACTACCCATTCGTATTGCTAAAATACACAACTATTTACAATGAATCACATAGAAAAAAAATACAAAATCCATTAAATATATTATTACACGTGATCAACTGCTACGGATATTTTTTCGTGGGTTGGAATTTTGCCCTCGTTCTTGGCCTTCATAGCCTAGAGTCCCCACTTGCTGTACATCTGGGAACACGAGTTCTTCCAGACCTCGTATCGCAGCCAAGTAACCAATAGCCCATCCCATCCCACCATTAAAAAGCAAAGGGGATTGAATGTAGAGAGGAGAGGGGCAGTGGGAGGGGTTAGGGTTTTGGAAATTTTAATAGAAAGGGAAAATGAAATGTGTCGATGGAAGAGAGATGTTTTAAGGAAAAGTGGGAATGAGAATTTTCAAAGGGGGGAATTAAAATTTTCAATGTTAAATTTTTTTCATGGAGGGAAAATTAAATAAGAATAAAAATTGGTCAATCAAAACTTGCATTTAACAAATGTTTTTTCTTTTTTAAATTTTGCTTTTAAGAATAAAAATTGGTCAATAAAAAAAACTGATGATGAGGGTTTTTATTTTTGGATTTTTTTGAAAAAAAAATGTATTTTCACCTTTTTTTTTAGTGATCTTTTAACTTCAAATATAATTTGTGGGGACTAAAACTAGATATGGTAATTGATAATTTTTCTCCTTAATTATTAGCCTACAAAGAGGTCTAATATTTTTGTTGGGAAAAAGATATATTTTTCCCGACAAATTTTTTGTCGGGAAAAGATTCAATTTTTGTGTGCTCAAATTTCTCTAATACTGAAAATTTTGAATTAAAACTTAACCCTACGAAACATTTTTTTGTGGGGAAAAGTGAATTCCTAAGACAAATCTCTATTAGTCTGTAGAAATTTTGTAGGGAAAACATATATTTCTTGTAGTGATGATGAAGGAGGGTTAGTCTGGTTTCAATGTGTTGTACTTGGCACTTTTCCTTTATTTTAATATCTTCTATTGAGAGGAGCGCTCGATTTAGAACTTATTTGAAACTATCACCTGATTCCAGTACCTCTATCCAATAACAATGAGTATCGATTTACATTGTTCATCATATATTTCTCAAATATGTAAATAACTCAAATCAAGTATCTCTACCAAATGGGGTCGAGCTACCACAAAGAGGCTAACAAATGAATTATTAATAATGTTTAGTATGATATTTCTCCAATTAACTTTAAAACAATCAAAATAAAATGAAATAGCTTGAACTTCTTCGTTAGATATTTGTAATAAAAGATTGTCTCTAAAATTTCAAATACTCATAATTTCAAATAGAAAAAAACATTATAACAGTGTCATATCGTCTTAAGATTGTTGGAAAAATTACACTGATAACGTGCACGGATTATGTTCTCAAGATGCACTTTTTATATGCATAGAATCTAACAGAAGTTCAATTTACCAAAATTGAATACATAAATTAGAAGCGAGAAATGCTTGAATATGAATTTGATTGAGGCAAGAGTTCAACTCATTCTTTTTAAGACGATACTACCCTACACGGATGCTAAAGATTTTTCGACTTTCGTCTCCCGAGATACAATGAAACGTCATGCCATAGTATCACTCCAAATTACGTAGACCAATGAATCTACATATGTTTTAAACCCTCTTTATATGAAACTTGATTCCAAATGAATGAAAATTTTTGAAGTGAACATGCAATAGTATGATAATGAATTCATAAAGTGAATGAATAAATCAAAATAAACACGTGGTGTCTATATATAGATGTTGAAAAGATTTGTATCAAAAGATAC